GGATCCCCCTAAAAGCAATACCAGGCCTTTTTAGGCCTGATAGGATTTTTAAGGGGAACCCCACCTCCTAAAAATGGGGTGGGGGGAGTGCGTGGGGTTCCCCCTAAAGGCCATACCAGGTCCTTTAGGTCCAGTAGAAAGGTTAGGAGGGACCCCACTGTAAAAAAAAAAAAATGACAATGCTGACTCGCCAAAACTTTTAAAAAAATGACACGTCAACCCATCCTCACACGCCGAGCACTCGCTGCAATATGACAGGTCTGTCAGTTGCTGGTCACATGTAAACAATAGGGTGGAGCTAGTGGTGACATCACCACTAGCGCCACCCAATTGTTGATGACAGGTTTGACAGTTTCCTGTCAGATGTAAACAATTAGGCGTAGCTAGCGGTAACGTTTACATGACGTTTACGTTTAATTGTTTACATGTGACCAGCAACTGTCAGACCTGTCATATTGCGGCGAGTGCTTGGCAGGTGTAGACGGGTTGGTGGGCGTCAGGTTTTTTTTTTTTAATTTCGGCAAGTGTCGTCATGACAAAGCTTAATGTCATGTTTGGCGATGGATTAGAATGATGGAACCATTTTTTTTTTGCTCTTTTTAAAAAATAAAAAAAGTACTTGTCAAAAACGTTTGTTTTGTTTCTTGATCAATAAAGGAATATTTCAAAAGACTGGTCTCTTTATTCTTTACTAAATTTAACCCTTTAGTGAATGGGTAGGGGTACACGTATCCCATAAACATTCACAAGGGGGGGCAGCATCAGCCCCCTTATTTAAAGGAGTACCCTGATGCTACCGAGCTCCCCTGAGCACAAATCCCCACAACCACCAGCCCAGGGTTTTGGGGAAGATGACCTTTTCCCCATCGGCATAGTGACATCGCCTCAATGCCGAGGGCACATGGCCTTGTAAGCCACAGGGAGGGGGGGGTGAACCCTTTCCTGCCGTGCCAGACCTGTGCTCAGATCAAGTGTCTGGTAGGAATTTAGGGGGGACCCCATGCTTTTTTCCCTCTTTTTTTGGGGTGGGATTCCTGTAAAAAGTCTTACCAGGCCTAAAGGGTATGGCTTTTAGAGGGAACCCACGCACTTTTTTATTTTTTTTAATTATTTTTTTTTACTGTGGGGTCCCTCCTAATCTTCCTACCAGACCTAGAGGGTCTGTCTGGTATGGATTAGGGGAGGACCCCATGCTGTTAATTTTTTTTTTTTAGTTTTGTGTAATTTTTTTTTAAATTGTCCTGCAGCAGGTTCTATACATTGTACAGATGTGCAACCACACACACACGCACACAGGCATGATATTTCAAGTATTTATTTTGTATTTTATCTCAAGCAATGAACAATAACTGCCCCTTTGAAAACGATACTTTTTGAAAAAATATTTTCTCTGAATCATGTCCCTCAGGGCAGTACCTGAGTCCCCATAACCCTTTTATGGCCAATAACGTGCATATAAGCCTTCAAAATAGGCACTTTTGATTTTACAAGTTCAAGTCCCACAGACTTGCAATGAATTCGAAGTTTACGGTCGAACATTCAGTAGGTTCGAATGTTCGGAGTGTTCAGCCCATCACTACCTGCCACTAATAAAAGTTTGCCAGTAGCATTATCGCTACAAAGGGCACAGTAATAAGGTGAAACTCTCACCTACTTGCTTATGTTCCTCCCATGCTGTATGAGTAAGACTACAAGTCACTGAAACTGCCTTCAGACATTAACTCTAATGGCAGCAGAAAAATGCTTAACCACGTTTTAGCAGTGTTACCACTTGGACATTTGTTCATTTCATTCATTGGCCAGAGTACTTGCCATTGAAATGCCGGGTTTGGCTTTTTTCGGCCAAAAGTTCCTCTCCTAAACATAATATTTCTGCGTTCAGGAGAAAGTCGTTTAACTTCCCCTAAGCTCTGCTGCTGCTAAAATCTGATCAAAGCCTGTGTGTATTGACACATAGGCTTTTATTGAGTTGAGTTCAGGGGCTTTGGCAACAAAAATGTAGCAGTGTACATGAGGCTGACAACTTACTTTCTAAAGTATTTTCTGCAAAGTTGGAGCAATAAAGCTGATAATGGGGTGACACATACAAACATATATCTGCATATTCTAGCAATAGTCTTACTGCTGATTTTAGGATCACATATGTGATATTATCCTTAGACCTCAAGGCTAAATTTATTTGATTCAAGAAATATTTTACCTAAAAACAAAAAAATCCCCTTTAGACATGTTTAGCCAATTTCACACAAGTTTCAACTGAATTAAATCACCTTATGTACAATAAATATATAATCAAGAAAGAGGTGCTTAACCACTTGCCTACTGGATACTTTCACCCCCTTCGTGCCCAGGCCAATTTTCAGCTTTCAGTGCTGTTGCACTTCGAATAATTATTGCAACACTGTACCCATATGAAATTGTTGTCATTTGTTTGAGACATATACAGCTTTATTTTGTTGGTATTTAATCACCACTGGGTTTTTTTTTTATAAACAAATGAAAAAAGACCAAACATTTTGAAAAAAAAAACATTTTTTTTGCCTTAGTTTCTGTTAAAAAAAGTTTGCAAACAGGTAATTTTTCTCTTTCACTGATGTGTGCTGATGAGGCTGCACTGATGGGCACTGATATGCAGCACCGATGGATACTTATAAGTTGCACTGATGGGTGCTGATGCGGGGGCACTGATGAGGCTGCACTGGTGGGCACTGATAGGCTGCATTGATGGGCAATGAGGAGAAGGCACCGATGAGGCTGCACTGATATGTGGCACTGAATGTCACTGATAGATGGCACTGATGGGCACTGACTGGTGGCACTGATGGACACTGACTTGGCGGCACTGATGGACAATGACTGCACTAATGGACACTGTTAGGACTGCACTGATGGATACTGATTGGCAGCACTGATGGACACTGACTGGCAGCACTGATGGACACTGTTGAGACTGCATTGATGGACATTTCTGGGACTGTACTGATGTCCTGATGTGTATTAAACAGTTGCCGATTTCCAGCTCTCCTCTATCCTCACACTGTGACAGCATAAGGAAAGTGCAGCAAATTACCGGTAACTGTATTTACATTGTGATCAGTTGTGTCATTAGACACAGCTGATCACATGGCAAAAGGCTGCTGTGATTGGCCCTTTACCATATAATTTGATCAGTTGTGTCCAAAGGACACAGCAATCACAGACAGCGCCGGGTGCGCTCCGCTGTGGGCGTGTTCTGGGAGGATGTTATATGATGCCCTCCCAGAACTAGATGACCATGCTGTAGCCATTTTTCAGTTATAGCCAAGTCGTCAAGTGGTTAACTATGATTGACTACCAGCAATTCTCAGAACATTTTTCATAATTTGTCTTTTCAAGGAAACCCTAACTGTTATCTAATAGGTATATTTATATCTGACTATTGTATGTAGTGGTTATAAGGTTAGGTTTCCAGGATATTATCACAGACATATAAACATTTCACTTGAGATATTCAGTATATATATATATATATATATATTAGAGATGAGCGAAGTATTCAAAAATTCGATTCGACTGATTCGGCGAATTCGTGGAAAAATTTTGATTCGAGTCGAATATATTCGCTGCGAATTTAACTTATAAAAGGGTGTTTTCTAGGCTTCAGAGAGCCTTTATATTAGTGCAGAACACTGTACCTTTAATTTAAATGCCCTTGGAGTCTGCTGGGGAAGAGAAATAATACTGACAGTCAGTATGACATGCAGATGAGTGCCGTCGATCTTAGAATCACCGCACACTTCACTCTTTGGGCAGTCACGGGGCCAAAACCAGAGTGTGGAGCTACAGTGTGGCGGTGGAGGCAGCAGCAATGGGAGGCCATACACCACCCTATGACAAAAATGGAAACCACCAGCAGTGTGAGGAGACCTGAAAGTGGCACATGGCAGAGTGTGGCGATGGAGACAGCAGCAATGGGAGGCCGTACAGGGACCCATGACACACTCTGGACCTGGCAGCAGCATGAGGAGGCAGTACAGGGGCCCATGACAGATTACGGGCCTGGCAGCAGCATGAGGAGTTGGTACGGGGGCCCATGGCAGATTACGGGCCTGGCAGCAGCAATGGGAGGCCGTACAGGGACCCATGACACACTCTGGACCTGGCAGCAGCATGGGGAGGCGGTACAGGGGCCCATGACAGATTACGGGCCTGGCAGCAGCATGAGGAGTCGGTACGGGGGCCCATGACACACTCTGGACCTGGCAGCAGCATGAGGAGGCAGTACAGGGGCGCATGACAGATTACGAGCCTGGCAGCAGCAACTTGGACAGGAGGACGTTCAGCTTCTGCACCGTCGGGTGCGTGCTCGCAAACTGTTGTCTCTTGGAAACGGATTCCAAGAAAGACTGCTGACGGAATCCGTGAAGAGGAGTAGCAGGAGAAGGAGCATCTGAACGAGCGGAATATGCCAACAAGCGACAACAGGGGCCCATGACAGATTACAGGCCTGGCAGCAGCATGAGGAGTCGGTACGGGGGCCCATGGCAGATTAGGGCCTGGCAGCAGCTATGGGAGGCCCGTAATCTGCCAGCACCCTATGACAAAAAATGGAACCCACAGCAGTGTGAGGAGACCTGAAAGTGGCACATGGCAGAGTGTGGCGATGGAGACAGCAGCAATGGGAGGCCGTACAGGGACCCATGAGAGACTCTGGACCTGACAGCAGCATGAGGAGGCGGTATAGGGGCCCATGGCAGATTAGGGGCCTGGCAGCAGCTATGGGAGGCCCGTAATCTGCCAGCACCCTATGACAAAAAATGGAACCCACCAGCAGTGTGAGGAGACCTGAAAGTGGCACATGGCAGAGTGTGGCGATGGAGACAGCAGCAATGGGAGGCCGTACAGGGACCCATGAGAGACTCTGGACTTGGCAGCAGCATGAGGAGGCGGTATAGGGGCCCATGGCAGATTAGGGGCCTGGCAGCAGCTATGGGAGGCCCGTAATCTGCCAGCACCTATGACAAAAAATGGAACACACCAGCAGTGTGAGGAGACCTGAAAGTGGCACATGGCAGAGTGTGGCGATGGAGACAGCAGCAATGGGAGGCCGTACAGGGACCCATGAGAGACTCTGGACCTGGCAGCAGCATGAGGAGGCGGTATAGGGGCCCATGGCAGATTAGGGGCCTGGCAGCAGCTATGGGAGGCCCGTAATCTGCCAGCACCCTATGACAAAAATGGAACCCACCAGCAGTGTGAGGAGACCTGAAAGTGGCACATGGCAGAGTGTGGCGATGGAGACAGCAGCAATGGGAGGCCGTACAGGGACCCATGAGAGACTCTGGACCTGGAAGCAGAATGAGGAGGCGGTATAGGGGCCCATGGCAGATTAGGGGCCTGGCAGCAGCTATGGGAGGGCCCGTAATCTGCCAGCACCCTATGACAAAAAATGGAACACACCAGCAGTGTGAGGAGACCTGAAAGTGGCACATGTTTGGGGCATGATTCATGGCGGATTTAGTCAGTTGTGTCAGGAACTGGTGGTTTGAAATCCAGACTAATCCACGCCTGATTCATTTTCACAAACGTGAGTCTCTCCACACTTTGGGTGGACAGTCGTGTCCTCCGCGGAGTTGCAATACCTCCTGCCGCACTAAACACGCGCTTCGATGCCACGCTACTGGCCGGGCATGACAGCCTTTCCAGGGCAAATTCAGCTAGTTGGGGCCAAAGGTCAAGTTTCTTTACCCAGTAGTCAAGGGGATTGTCTACCTCGGTTGGCAGGGTGCTGTCCAAGTAGGCCTAAGCCTGTTGTTTGAGGTCCTGCTCCAGGTCCACCTGATGCTGCTGCTGCTGCTGCTGCAGCTGGTTAGTAGTTTCCTCACTGCGCTGGTGAAGAAAGCTACTCATCATCGACTGCAGACTGAGGCAGCTGCTGCTGGTGGAGCTGCCACTGCTCCTACCACTCCCTCCCCTGCTGCCATGGCAGCGGAACGCGAGCGCACAGGGCCCACAGTGTCTGAGGATGGACGTTGGCGCAGACAGGCAGAGACCAGCTGACTACATAGGTGGTTTTTATAGTACGTTATTTTGGCCTCCCTCTCAGCAGGTGTGAAAAAGGCCACCATTTTTGAACGGGTTTAGCGAGGGTCCAACAAGGTGGACAGCCAAAAGTCATCCCTCTGTCTGATGGTTATTATTCGGCTGTCGGTACGCAAGCAAGCGAGCATGCTATGGGCCATTTGTGCCAAGAAATGCGAGCGACTCCCTGCCTCCATCTCCACAGCATACTGCCACGGTGCGTCTGGGTCCTCTGTCTCCTCTTCCTCCTCCTCTACCAGATGCTCCTGCTCCTCCACTCCTGTCCGCTGAGTGGAAAAACCACCCATTTCACTCAATAATTCCTGAGCACCAATGTCCTCCTCTACCTCCTCCTCTTCTTCCTGTCCTGCCCCCACAGGGATCATGTGGCGTTGAGATCTGTGCGCCACGTCTACCGCACCCTGACCAGCCATTGTTAACAGCATTTGTTCCAGGACGTGCAACAGAGGAATGACGTCGTTCATCCCATAGTCCTGGCGACTCACGAATAGCGTGGCCTCCTCAAAGGGCCTGAGCAAGCGCAGGTGTCACGCATGAGCTGCCAATGGCTGACATCTAAGTTACACAGGGAGTACCTTTATCCGCTTTTAACATCAGGAAATCTGTGATGGCCTTTTGCTGTTCGTAAAGGCGGTCTAACAGATGTAGGTTGAATTCCACCTTGTTGCAACGTCACAGCATGAGGAGTCGGTACGGGGGCCCATGGCAGATTAACGGGCCTGGCAGCAGCAATGGGAGGCCAGTAATCTGCCAGCACCCTATGTCAAAAAATTCAACACACCAGCAGTGTGTGAGGAGACCTGAAAGTGGCACATGGCAGAGTGTGGCGATGGAGGACAGCAGCAATGGGAGGCCGTACAGGGACCCATGACAGACTCTGGACCTGGCAGCAGCATGAGGAGGCGGTATAGTGGCCCATGGCAGATTTAGGGGCCTGGCAGCAGCTATAGGAGGCCCGTAATCTGCCAGCACCCTATGTCAAAAAATTGAACACACCAGCAGTGTGTGAGACCTGAAAGTGGCACATGGCAGAGTGTGGGCGATGGAGACAGCAGCAATGGGAGGCACTGTACAGGGACCCATGAGACACTCTGGACCTGGCAGCAAGCATGAGGAGGCGGTAACAGGGGCCCATGGCAGATTAGGGGCCTGGGCAGCAGCTATGGGAGGCCCGTATTCTGCCAGCGTACTCCTATGACAAAAAAATTGGAACACAAAACCAGCAGTGTGAGGAGACCTGAAAGTGTGCACATGGCAGAGTGTGGCGATGGAGACAGCAGCAATGGGAGTGCCGTACAGGGACCCATGACAGACGACTGGACCTGGCAGCAGGATGAGGAGGCGTTATATCAGGGCCCATGGCAGAGAATAAGGGGCCTGGCAGCAGCTATAGGAGGCCCTGTAATCTGCCAGCACCCTATGTCAAAAAATTGAACACACCAGCAGTGTGAGGAGACCTGAAAGTGGCACATGCATGAGACAGCAGCAATGTGCAGGACCGGACAGGGACCCATGAGCTCAGCCTGGCAGCAGCATTGAGCGGCCGGTACAGGGGCCCATGGCAGATTAGATGGGCCTGGCAGCAGCTATGGGAGGCCCGTAATTCGCCAGCACCCTATGACAAAAAATGGAACACACCAGCAGTGTGAGGAGACCTGAAAGTGGCACATGGCAGAGTGTGGCGATGGAACAGCGTCAATGGGAGGCCGAACAGGGACCCATGAGAGACACTGACCTGGCAGCAGCATGAGGTGAGCTGTATCGGGGCCCATAGGCAGATTAGGGCCTGGGCAGCAGCTATAGGAGGCCCCTTAATCTGCCAGC